CCCTCCTTCCCTCCCCCGCCGCCTCCCCGCACCCCGCCTCCTTCCCTCTCCCCGCCCCCAAACCCTCTCACCCGCGGCAGTCCGGTGAGAGGCCCCCTCCGGAAGGTGAGGGGAATGAATTGGACTCCGGTGGGGAAAACGGGTGTGTAGAAGTGGTGCTAATGGGAAGCGAATTCTGGTTTCACAAGAGGATGCTCTGCCACAAAGAGCGGCTCGCGCGCTGGCCTGGGCTGTAGCCGAGAGATCCCCGGAGAACTCCGGAGCTCGCGGGGAGCGCTCCTCGGAAGACCGGGGTCAACATGCCTGTGCGCAGGGGGCATGTGGCACCGCAAAACACATTTCTGGGGACGATCATACGGAAATTTGAAGGACAAAGTAAGTTCATTTGTTCTCTTCTCTCTCCCTCGCTTTCTGCTCTGATAGTGCACTTGTCGTCCGCAGCTTGCGAGCTGAGGAGACCGGCAACTCTAGGCTCTGTCAAGTTGAGACGCTGTGAAACCGAGCCAGCAGGTTCCAATGGCAGCGGGAGCGTTTTCCTCCTGATATTAATTTTGATTTACATTTTAGATTGTGATTTCCATTGTAGAAGGCAATTTGATCCTCCTTTCCCACTGCTCCATTATCTACCTTGATACTTAATGTACTACTATTCTACTATCTTAAAGGGAACGTGCTAACCTAACATGGGTTTATATTTTGAGGCTGTTTTTACCGTAGACTTTTTGAAAGTCGGGAGCGGAGCGGACTATACTATTCCAACAAGAGAATGTACATGGTAGTCGCGATGTAGATGGCTATGCAAACTATATTTTACCTTGGTTAAATTACAAGGCAGCGCTATGGCAGGGATGCTTGCTTGCTGTTAGTTTATAGAAGCTAAACTTTGTATTGAACCAATGCAAATATGTCCCAAGCAGGATAATTTGGGATCGCAAATTGCTAGTTCCCGATGCAAATGGCCCATTATTCAAAAGAATATTTCTGTCACTTTATTATCCCCTTAATTTTTTCCATCTAGAAATTTAAAAATTGAATAACTAAATCCCACAAAGACTGAAAGCAGAGAAATTTAATGTTCTCATGTGACAGGACTATGAGGAATGAAATGTCAATATATAAGAATATTAATTTAAAATTGTATACTTGTCAATATATTCTATGTTTTCTTAAAAAATATTTTAAAAAATGTTCATGTGATATATTTTGAGTTATTTCAGCACTGCATTTAGTGACGTAAGGATCTGGTACCTTGTGTACAAAATAAACTTGTATATACTGCCTCACATTCTATCTGAAAATAGTAAACGCAGTCAGTGATCAAAATTAATAAACTCTTTGCATTTAAATTTCAACTACTATGCAAAAATTTGAGATTTTACCTAAGTAAATGTGAAAGGGTGCTAACTTGATATTTACTGTGTCTGTGTGTAAATATTTTTCTTTTGGAAAATATATTATGAAAAGGCGAGCTTTTGCATTATTGAACTGGTAATAAATGTGAATTAGTTTTATTGCTAAAGCTAGTTGTCTTAAAAAAAAAAAAAACAAGATGTGTGTAATATACCTTAGAGGGATAGAGAAAAACCAATGAATAATAACTACTTTGAGAAAGTTCTATTCTAAGGGCCAAAATGGAAGCAAGAAATCTGAATCTACAGGATGTTTTACTGTTTTGACTTTTAAAATATTTACTTTACAATTAAATAAGATTCTGGAAATATCAATGAGCTTACTACTTGTTCCAGTGTCCACTAGAACCCATGGGGCTTGTAGGACTTGAGAACTAGTCTGTTTGGGTAATTCTATTCTTAAAATATGAAGAATAGTGCTGTGACACTTTCTAGTAAAATTACTTAGGACCATTAATCTCAAATTTAAAGTTTGTGAGTTTGTGTGTGTGTGTGTGTGTGTGTGTGTGTGTGTGTGTGTGTGTGTGTGTGTTTCTTATAAAGGCTGGGAAAATTTGTAATTTGGGGACTCACCTGCATGTCATATCTCAGTGGAAACTTTTTAAAAGACACCTTACTATCTTCTTATTGCAGATAAAAAATTTATCATTGCAAATGCCAGAGTGCAGAACTGTGCCATCATCTACTGCAATGATGGGTTCTGTGAGATGACTGGGTTCTCCAGGCCAGATGTCATGCAGAAGCCATGCACCTGTGACTTTCTCCATGGGCCCGAGACCAAGAGACATGATATTGCCCAAATTGCCCAGGCATTGCTGGGGTCAGAAGAGAGAAAAGTGGAGGTCACATACTATCACAAAAATGGTAACATTTATTTAAGATTCTTTGTATTTGATCCATTGAAAAGAAATTTTGATTAAAAGCTCATATGTAGAGATGCCTCAAATGTTCAATTGTAGATATATGCTTTGCTTACAGTATTTTACAATCCAAGAAGTATGAATATTCTCATTAGTGGTCTAGTAAAAACAACTTCTTCTTTGAATAAGGGTACTCTGAAATCCTCAAAAGTTGAGTAACTTAATATCACTGAGGTCAAAATGCTACAGATCAGTCTTACTTGTTCCCCTCTTTAAGAGATCATATAAAGACCAATAATTTATTGCCTGTGTTGATATGTATGTGGTAGGAAATAAATACAGTTTTATCTGCCTGAACTTTAAAATACTTTCCAAAGAAAAGTCTTGTTAAGAACTGTATATCTGAAATGAAAACTATTACAGTTATGTTTCTTGACACTGTAACTTCATTTGATAGGTAACATGAATATTATATTATCCAGTTAACCTATGTATAGTCAAATAGTTAAAACTGTTCATGCTTCAAAACTTGTCCCAAATAAGAAGGATAGAAAAGGAAGTATGGTACTGTAGATTTATTAGTATTTATTTTTAAAGCTGCAGCAATACTGGCATCTTAAACTTAAGGTCATTCCTCAACTTCAAGGGTACACATCCTTATGTCAGGCTTGCTATGAGAGCAATAACAGTGAGATTTATAGTAACTCTAAAAATACACATTTAGTGGCCAGGCAAACCTTAAATACACCATATATGTATATACACATGTATATGTATATATTTGTATATATATGTATTCATACACTAACATATATGAATACTACAATATGCCTACTGTAAGGTGTATACATTCGCAAATGTGCACACAATGATATCTGACAACTTAGAGCTTAAAGGTAAAATAATTTTTAAAACATACACGTCAGTTCATTTTGTTGATATTGCATCATCATCTATTTATTTTTATCCCATTGACAAAAATTAGTGAGACAGAGGTGTATCTGTTCAGGTTTTTAGAAAATTCTTCAGTCTTGGTGAATGTATAATGTGCTATAACCTATGGCATATAATGAGTCATCATTTGGCAAACTACAAAGAAAAAAAAATCAGAGCAAAGGTTTATCTCTTAATCTTATTTTCTTATAATTAAGTTTTCATGGTAGAAAATGTACCATTCTTAATTACTGAATTTTCCTTAATGTGAACTTGAGTGGTTATGTACAACAAAGCATTACTGGAAAGGGAGGTTTGAATAGCTTTGTATTAATTTGGAATGATTATCTAACAGTATAGAAATTGTTTCTAAAGTTCTTCCCATTTTTCCTTTAGTCTTCAATCAGTAGTGTTGGCATACTAGAAATAGCCTATTTTCTCTGTTGTCTTGAAAACATTGTTAGACAGAGGCTTTCACTACCCAAATGCAACTAATTTCTCTTGTGTATCTGATGCCAACAATCTGGACTTTTGGAATACTTTGAATGTCTGACATTTTAAAAATTTGATTATTATGATGTCAACACAGTCTTTATTGTGGTTACTTCAGAGCATGTTGGTCTATCTTTGGTCATAATATTTTCTAGGTCATTTCAGATTTTTTTCAACTTACAGAATTTAGATATAAAATTATTCTGGAATCCACAAATTGCTTAGATACTAAATATATATATTTTCAGAGTGTTTTTAAGTAGAAGTTGTTATCTATTATATGCAAGTGGAATGGTGATGTTGTGAAACTTGTACAATGTTTTAAAAATTATCTCAAAACACCTTTAAAAAGCAAGTTAATACAGAATGATAGAATAACAAATATCATTGTTCGAATGTCTGTAATGAAGATATTAGTATATTGACTAATGTAGATCTTTCTGAGTGATGTTTGGTTACATAAATTAAAAATTTCTTGTTTTCAGGTAAGCAATCTTTATTTGGAAGCTTGTTTAGGTATAGAAATATTAGCCTTTTTTGACAATTTTTTTTCATATGTGACTCAGTCTTCAAGAACTTGGGTATCTTTAGAGTTAACAAACTGTCAGTTTTGCTTAACTGATATGGAAAACATAAGGTGATGAGTCAAGGTTTTTCTTTTTTTCCTAAGAACAAATTAATTTGAGTCACCTGTTTAGTGAAAATATAGACTTGTTTGCTTTATTGAAAAACAAAAACACTTGTGTTTTTGCTACTAGTTCAGATACCTTGAATAGCATCTTTAGAGTATATTGGTTTTATTCACATGGCAACTGCAAAATAAGTCAGTGCTTATGAAGTTCAAATGCTTTGATAGTCTTGCCTCTTGGACCTACCAGCTACTCTACATTTATAAAAGCTGTGGGGAAAAAAATCATCAACATTTTTAATGGGTTGTTTCTCAAAGTTTCCTTAATTCTTTATTATTGAGCTCATTTACTTTGAGAGTTTCTTAACTGCTTGCAGTAAAATTCTTTCTTTACTTACTTTTTATTTTGCATTTCACAAGAACATGAAGAGTGAAGTAATAAGTACAATCAATAAATTAACAAAAAGTTGATATATGCTGTTTCTATTTTTTCCATATGCTCTTACTAGAGAAGGAAGATATGAGCAAGACACTATTTAGAAATCCTGTTTTGTAAAACAGGACCAGAGTCTTTATAAGCAGTTTAAACTCATGATCTATGCAATGAGTTCACATTGATGCAGTGCACGATGAGCTGCATGATCACCATTGTGAAGCACCACCTCCTACCATGCTCCTGATTGTGACTGTGCTGGTACAATTGGACTTGCTGTTTACCAGAATATCCATTTTTTAAAACCTAGTTATTTGCAGTAGGTCTATTTGACAGCCCTTCCTTTGAGGATTCTATTTTGCAGTTAAGTCATTATTGCGTAAATCATTCTTGGCAGCTGTGAAATATTGCTTGAGGTGATAGAGCTGTAAATCTTTTGACATAAAACTCTAATTATACAAAACTATAATTACTCTGAGGCTTATATAAGGATGGGCATGTATTTTAATAGCATCCACTTTAAAAATACATTTTTAGCAATAGTGATCGAAAAATAGCAAACACTTCAGTTATCAATTAGTTTGTAGATGATGCAAATAGAAAGGAAACAGAAAAAAAAAGTGTTTTCTTGGCCTTCCCTACTAAGTTTATTGCTCATCTGGTTTGGAGTATGTCATGGAATAGAGCTAGCTTGTTGAAGTGCTAAATCCCATCAGGCATATTTAGAAATGTGTCTTTGACCTTAAATTATCATGCAACTTTAAGCATTTGGAAAATCAAAGTAAATTTCTCCAGGAGAAAAAAGGTCTTTACTCAGCAGAAAAGCAGGACTTAAAATGTATTATTTTTAGAAGTCAGAGCATTCCTATATTTTTGCCACTATGCTTTCAGACACAGTGCAATGGCAATTTTGTTAGTAAATCAGGAATATGTAGTGCTACTTTTCTTATCTTCATGCTGCTTTTAAAGAACTGAAGAATGAGAAAGGACTGAGGGAAGTTCTTGCCTAATCCAAACAGGGATCAGTGCAACGTTTTGGAGGCAGTGTTCGATTTAGCTAAACTCAGAAGAGGTCTTGGTTTGATAACATTGAGTCTAACATGTCTGAGCATAATGCAGAAAAATCTAGAAACTGCTATGTTTTTGTGAGTGAAGGTGAAAATATATATTGTGTCACCTCTTTCTAATGTAACGTGTTAGATACTAGAAAAATAATAGGAAGAGATGCAAAAGAGAATACAGCCTAATCTCTGTTTTCAGGACATTTGTATTACAGGGTGACTAATGTCCATTTCTATCTTCTAAGTCCCAGCTGGTTCTATAAAATTGTTTTTAAAAGAAGAAGAACATATGAACTATGAAATAAAGCTTTTATATATATGGAGAATCTATAAAATTTAGTGTTGATTTCCATTCTTCCTCTATTTTGTAACATTAAAATTAACTCGCTTATTTGTATGTTCTGTCACCTTTTGTCATGGATACGTAATAATGTTTATTAAAGAATCAATGTAGTTTAGTTAGAATTTTAATAATACACCTCATTATAGCTTTATATAAGTTATATAACAAATAAAATATTCAGCTCTCCTAATTCTTGGATTGTATAGTAGAGATACAGATGGTAGTTTTTTAGACAAGAACAGAAATATATTTTATGTGTGTGTAATTCAAGCATTAAGAAAGATTTCCAGGGAGTATCTTGCATAGAATTTGCCTGGGTGTTCATTTTAACTTTGTCTATACATTTTCACGTTCTATTCAATAGCATGTTGTAGCAACAGTAATCCTAAAATCAATTTTCTTTCACATACCTAAATTTTATAACATCTAATAGACTTTGGATGTTATACAGAATTCGGGTTTGGTCAATTGTATTTGTTGATAAAATAACCATTTTCAAGAAACACTCCTCCTCACAATTTGAAAACTTTATTTCTGTATTGTTCCAAGTGAAACAAAAATGTCCTAAAACCACGGGTAATCTCTGTTTATCAGTTCCTTTCATCATCCACCAACACCAGACCTCTAAGCAGCTCTGGTGCCAACAAGAAGCTTTTTTATCTGCCAACTTGAGAGGTAACTGCTCATTTATTTTCATACCCAAGTTGCTTGACAAAAAGTCAGTTTAGGATGACAGTGATAGGATAAGGCTTAGTGGGAGAAACTTGGAGCTGCAGGTTTCCAATGGGTATTTTTTATTGTTGTTTGGCTGGTTTTGTTGTTGTTTGTTATAGTCACTGAACCCATTGTTGGAAGCCAGGCTTCCAGGAGAATCCTGGGACTGTTGAGCCACAGGGAAGCAGCAGTTGGTATTTGAAGTATTGAGCCATCACCATTCATCTGGGAATCTAAACTAGAAACTATGGTGACATTTTCTGTTTTCCTCTGTCTCTCGTCTCCTTAAACCCAAATGGTCACCAAATCCTTTCAGTCTTTACACCTGAGATGTCTCACACTGCTACCCCTAAGTCTCCATTCACTTTGAAGTACTCTAATTAAAACCTGCTCTTCTCTTCTTAAACATTGTAGTTTCCAGTTTCCTTCCTTCTTCAATCCATTCTCCATAATGCC